ATAAACAGACCGTAAACGAGTCCGTTTTGATCAACCTGGGTAGTGTCATGATGTGGACTAGCAGATAAAGATGGAATAGTGACTGATATTACATCATTATCAATGATTTCGGAGCCGTTATTATTGTTTGTACCGTAAAAATGAGTTGTTGTCGTTGATGCGTCCGAATTATTTTCATCAACATCGCTTCTTTGTCTCTTATTTGATACAAAGTACGTACTTATATCCTCCTTATACTTTTTATTCATTTTTTTTCAATGAATGAATCAAAAAGTGTCCTGCTTATTAAATATGAATCAGAATACATTAGAAAGTATTTATAATTATGTACATAATTTATTTAGTTAACAATAACCCATGATAATGAATCCTAGCNCGTGTGACATACTTTAGTTTCTTTAATCATCACTGCACTGGAGGCATTTAGTGGGATATGAGATGGAAAAACTAGATCAATCTTTCAGAGATGCAAATATTATCAAATATACTATTTGAGACTCCTTCGAACTAAAAGCGCAAAAGTTTTTTCTCCTTATTTTCAAGACGAATTGAACAATAAACACTCAAAAAAAAACGTTTGAAAGAAAATGCCACACCAGCTCTAATAGATACATCTGTTAGATATTTTAAATATTCAAAATCATCTACTACTGCTCAAAGCAAGAAGAAATGTTCTAGTTTGAAAGTGGGACGTTTCGAAAAACAACGATAAAAATTTTCTCAAAATTTATTTTTCAAAGTGGCATACAATTGTGTCTGAACAAAATAAAGTCGTATTCGAGAACGAAAATGAGACGTCCAGTTTTTATTCAACATATGTATAGTGTATGTCAGTTCTTCCAATTGCGTTGAAGAAAATAGTCTATGGTGTTTATTCCAAATCTAAATCATCGCTCTTTTCAAAATCATTTTATTTGAAAACGACAACGACACCAAAAAGTAATAGTAATCAAAATTGATCATCACATGAGCAACGACCATCTTTAGTGAAATAATGTATTCTTAGTCTATCTCTAGCAATAATTTCTCGTTGTGTTAATCGAGCAATAAGTTTCGATACTTCATGACAATCAATACACATGCGTAAATTTTTCGTTAATTGTATTGCTGTACCAGGTGGTGTGGAAATTAAATTAAATGCAATAGCTAATCTCTCTGAATGTGCATAAATACTCCATTCAGCGTTTACTTCATGCTTTGTTAAAACACTTTCATTAGGTTGATAGCCTAATTTAATTAGTTGATCATGTAGAATTTCTAATTGTTCATAAATTTCTTTTGATCGTGAATGTCGAATATCTTGAGCATAAAATTCAAACATTTCACCATTGATTTCTGTCAATGTTACACCTGAATATTTTGGTATTTTATTAAGATATAAATTTTGCCGAAGACGAAATGAAAGATTATGATCACCAATAGATGCATACACATTTGCTGTTAAAACAACAATAGCTGAACGTTGATCATCGGTTAATGTTATATTTGATTCTATCAATTCATCATGAATTTCAAGAGCTAATTTAGCATTTTTGTGTGTACGACATGCAGCTAGCAGAGAAATATATAATACCGGTGAACGAATATGAGTTATTTCGAATAGACGAATGATTGAATGAGCTTCAGATAATTGACCAGCACGACCATAAACATCAACCTATGTTATAAATTCAAATAAAAGTTGTTAATAAAAAAGTTTTTCGAGAATTAATATTGCATTTTAATTGATATCAAACTAGAATCTATAGATTTCGTTCATATCAAGTAGCATACCAATGAAAAAGATAATAGTAGTGAGTAAGAACATTATTCTATCATAATTAAAAGGAAAAACAATATGCTTGCATTCTTTATTTAAAACTCAATGTAGGACGAATTTAAAATGGTTATAGAACAGAACCATTGAAATATCTTTATTTGAATTCGATCATGTCGATTTAGAAAATCACTTAAAATACTTTAACCATTATGTTTCAAACTAATCGATTCGAAATCTTATTTTTATATATACATGAATGTCATATTGTTAATATAGTTTATTTTAGTATTGCTACTTTTCTTTGATATCAAGTGAAAACTACAGATTATGTGAGCTGTCGAGCACGTAGTTATTTTCTCTCTCATCTGACAAGAACGTATATCTCTTTGTTAATTTTGATCATAACAGTTTACTACAGTATTGGTTTATACTATTTCTCTGAATAAAGCCTGTGTAAGTCTTTATCATCTATCAACAGTCTCATCATTTTCGTTGGATCGAAGAAAAATGAAAATATTCGCGTTGATATCGAATAATATCTGATGATACAGCCTGTGTTCACAAGAACAACAAGAAAACGTGAATTTTAGTTTATATTTAGCACTTACAAGCGCATTCCACATTTTGATAGTTCGTTTTTCGTTCGGAATATTATCAAATATATTTTGAGCTTCTTTTATTAGACCACCATGAGCACAGGCAGTCAAAACACTAAGTAATATTGATTCTATATTTCCTAATAAATTATTTTTTGTTTCATAAAATAAAGCCACTGCTTCTAATGCTTGAGAATTTATTCCGTATATATTAACTAAAACACTTGTATTCGTTATTTTTAGATATAACTTTAATTAATTAACATACTCATCGATGAAATACTTGGTTTACTTTTGATTTTTAATTTATTAAAAATTTCTCTAGCTGAATTTAGATCGCCACATTTTCCATACGTATCCATGCTAAAATGAAAATATGAAAATTGATTTGAAATAACCCATATATATTTACAGAGAGACAGAGAGAGAGAGAGATTTTTTCTGACGTACTCACACGGACACGTACAAAAATTGATTCTGAGTAAGCTGTCCGCAAATAACATGAGTAAGAAATATTAAAAAAGGTTTTATTCCAGATTAGATAATATAACTCTATTTACTCCTTAAAAGAAAAGAAAAACCTGTTAGCAACTATGATACATCTTTGGGAATTGTTGAGAAAATGATAGGAAATCTTAATGAGAAATAAAACATCAAAAATATTTCGTACTATTCTAGAAAATAAAAGTATATAACTCGAGGAAAACATGAGTGAATAATTTTAATAACTAACATTCTGTACTGCATACAAAAAGTCAGATTATTTATAAATGATTTAACCTCGAATGATCTACTGATATATTTATCTCAATTTCAATATTTGTAAGATATAGATGGCATTATTTTTTAGGGAGAAGCTGGGTCTGAACCACATACCTACAGTGTATTGAGAATTTTTTCATTTTTTTCATATGGTATTCCACTCGCGATTATATCATTATGAATTGAACGAGCGCGAGATAATATACCTAATTTACCAGCTGCATTTGATGCAACTAGATAAATAACTTCATCACATTCAACTTGATTTGTCTGTTTCAAATGATCATAAACAGCGAGAGCTTTAACTGGTAAATTCTAAATAATAAAATAAGATTTTTCGTTATCAACAGTGCTACATAAAATGTTGATATACATTAACAATATACGATTTAGCCATCGTTGTATATGAAATGATATCGGGTTTTTGTATATTTTTAAATGTATTTTCCATTCGAACAATATTGCCACATTTTCCATCCATCTATAACCAATTCATATTAATTATAGAAAACAAAACTGAATTTTTATAAATGACGCACATCAATTAGGGCATTCATCAGTCTAGAATCCTGAGAAAAAAAGGCTTGAACTGAAGATGATAACGTATTTAATTCACCATGAATTCTATCTGTCATTTGAATATCACCTATTTGTGCTATAGCATTGGCCCATAATAGAAAAGTAACAATATTTCGTTGATTCTTTGGTAAATGTTCAGAAAGTTGCACAGCTAAATCTGCTCGATTATTTTTTATATAACCTCTCATTAAAGTATTTACTGGAATAGCTTGTTGATTTAAATTTTCTTTATAGAAAATGTCTTCAGCTATAAAATAAAAATATATTGCTCATTTATATGAATGTCTTATATCTTCATTGTTGACCTGTTTTTATATCACCACAGGTAGCATAAAGTTGTATCAGACATGTATGTATTTTTATTTCTTTACTTTTTTCAATTGTTGTTGACCATCTCTGTCGAATATATTCATGAATACGTTTTCCTTCATCCAAATTACCTAAACGTACGCAAGCACCCAAAGCAAGAAGGTACGTAATAAAATCAGGTATTATATGTGGATGTTGAGTAATAAGCTTATCGAATAATGCTAGTGTATTTTTTGGTGTTTTCCGTTTATTCGAGTGTGTCATTGCTAGATTCCAATTGTAAAGTTCTTGAGAATTAGATGTTGAAATTTGAGTCACAGGGCTTATTAGATTGTGACGCCAAACAATCATGGATGCTTTTAAGCGTTGAACACACAAAAAGCGATTAGTAAACATTTATAGAAAATTTTTTATAGCATATCAAAGTTACTATTACTGATCAAGCCAATAATTGTGGTGATACAAAAAAAGAATCTGCACTAATCTTTCAATTGGTTGCTTCTGTGAAAAAGTGAAACAGAAAAAGATTATGAAAGATGGCGTTGAAATAGAAATAAGTAATACATATATCATACATATATTCAACAAACGAACGACAAGATCTTTTCTCTTTCTTTCTTTCTTTCTTTCTTTCTTTCACACAACTAATACATCAATTCGAACAACATTCGTTCATTATATAAGAATAAGTCGTGAATTTTTCAAAAGACTGATTCTTCGTTTGATGGAGGGTTCATAAAATAATTATTAATTATTTTCTATCTATTGATTGATGTCTCTCACGTCAAATTTTGTACAGATTATATTTTCTACTAGCTACGTCATATGCGTAGTTGCAAAGTTGTGAAAGATCTTTATCGTCAATGATAAGCAGCTTTATTATTATGTTCATTTTGAACCTCAATCATTCCTATGCAACGTTTCTTTACTTTTTAACACTTGGAAAAAGTAACTGTATCCAGTTACCATAACATTATAGCACATGAATAATCTTTGCTATTAGTATTCAATTGTTCGAAAGAATAGAACAGTTTCTATGGACTAATAAAAAAAAAAGATATGTTCGTTTCAAAACTTGTTAATTCAGCGTATAGAAAGACCAACAATGTCGATCGATTCAAAGATTCAAAAGAAAAACTTTCCTATCTATAGCAGTGATTTTCTTACGAAAATAAAATGATGAAATTCTTCTTTTTTATTTATACAATTATTTTGATAACGAAAATTTATTTGCTACACATACTCTTTTCTAAAGTAAACAAAAATCATATCAAGCAAAGTATTATTTCATGGATGAATTCAAATGTAAATCAACGATGTCGTTGGTGCATTTTTTGCATGAAAAATACATGTATTCACAGTATAAAACATATTATATGATGGATTCTACTGATTATTTTTATCTTCTATCTTACCGCCGTAAGGCGTCGTCAGCAACCATATCAATCCATGCTTTTGGTGTTCAAGTTACAATTAATATTTCTAATATCAATTTTGAATTATACTTCGCTTCAACGTGTAAATCCATTAACACAATATTGGGATTATCAACGCGAAGGACCTGACACATGGCAACAAAGATATAATACATGTAATGGTAGAGCACAGTCTCCTATAAACATTCAAACATGTCTTGTTAAATATGATAAAAGTCTTAATCCACTCTGTTTGAATGATTTTATGGTAAATACATCTTTGTACGTATGGAATTTCACACATAATGGCCACACAATAGTTGTGTATCCACCGACATCAGCGCGTCTTTCAATCAGTGGAGCTAATCTATCAGAAATATTTTATTTAGTTCAATTTCATTTTCATTGGGGTTACAATGCTTATCAAGGCTCAGAGCATACAATTGATGGAATAAAATATTCTTTAGAAATACATTTTGTGCATGAAGCTCAGTTTTCGAGTTCTTTAACTGTTCTTTGTGTACTTTTTAATTTACAAGTTGATGATAATCCATATATCAATGATCTATTGTCAATCTTAAATCAAACTAGAAATGCATCCATAGCTATTGAGAGACAAATCGATATATCTCCACTTTTTCCAACATTTTTTTCGCCTCGTTTCTATCGTTACATTGGTTCATTAACTACTCCTCCATGTACGGAAGGTATTATTTGGATAATATTAGCATCGACTGTACCAATATCAGAAAATCAATTAAAAATATTCATAGATAATTCAGCACCATCAAATTTTCGAGATCCACAAAACTTAAATTCACGTAACATTTTAGCGAATTTTGAACCTGAGAAAAATCTGGAAGTTAATGACGACTACAACAAATGTATTCAACGTTCTTCAGTATGTATTGAACAAAGATCAATATTTCTAATATCACTTGTTCTTTTTATATTTATACTTCAATAACCCAATGAAAAATTCATTATACAGTTTCTCAAATCATCACTTATACTTGAAAATAACTATTTTTTTAACGATTTCAGATTGTTTTTGATAGTTCTCTGTTTGTTTTGAGAGTTTTATTATTATATTTGTTACTTTAGAATTGTACTTGAAACAAAACAGATCTATTATGATTTCATTTTTATCTATATATATTTAAAAAAAAAACAATATTATTTTGACGATTCACTAATAAATGAAAATCTATTATTTCGTAAAAATTAATGAAAACTCATACTTTCTACTCGATCATTATCACACTAAGAAACATGTCGAAGAAGATATATTATTATCTTAAATTTGACTAAATTATGGTGTAAGATATTATTGAGCTCTAATAATCATTATGTTCAGTATTATTGCATAATGGTCTTACCAGTACGTTTATTCGATTAGATTAATCTAGTAACATTTGATATTGATACAAATATGAAGAATGAAGTTTTTGTTGATATATTTTATTGTCAACAACAATAAAATATGTTTTTATTTTTGCGCTCAAAAATTGACAAAAGAAACTTGTATGTCTTAGTTTCTTTGTTTGTCTTGTTTATCAAATTTGATTTCCTTAAAAAGTAGACTGACAGGTTTCTAACAGTAAAACATTATCAACAAAAGATTTTTTTATCAACTTTTTAAATCTGTATGACATAGAAAATATTTCGTCCAACGTCAAGAGTTTTTTCTTAAGGATTTTAAAGTAGTTTCTAATTTTAAATATTCAAATAAGGTAATCGCAAAATATTTATTTTATCATCACATTTCTTTGCTGTTCTTTCAAAAAAAGAACGTAGACATATTTCGAATAATATTCTCTCAACGAAGAAAGTCATACTATGTCACTTTCGTACTTCAATGCAGTTACAAGAAGAGAACGATAAAGTACGAGTGTGCTTTTATTACAGGTGAAACCACAGTCAATTCGTTTTATTTTACACCATGGATCGAATAGTTTCTTTTTCTTTTCTTCTTCAATGACGTGACCTTCTATCTATGATGTAAAAAAAGAAGAAAAGACACTCTTTTATCGTTCTATTCTGCATAATCACGATGACGATACAGCATCTTTTATTCTATATAAAGTCAAGAAGTTTCTTTACCATTTCACCACTAACAAATACACTTGATTATTCAAATATTTCTTGAAGAAAAAACAATGGCTCCTATTCAAAATTCGGCTGTTATCTTTGCAGAGATTCCTTCTGATTATCCTGTGCCTGGTAAACATCTTAAATATGTTAAAGACCGAACGATTGATCTTGATAACGTCGATATGCAAGGTGGTATTGTCACAAAGAATCTTGTTATATCTATTGATCCATATATGCGAGGTCGAATGAGATCAGCTGAAGCAAAAAGCTATTCACCTGCATTTGAACTTAATCAACCATTGACAAATTTTTTTGTCGGAAAAGTTGTCAAATCTGAAAATGAAAAGTTTATTGTTGGCCAATATATTTATGGATTTGGAGGTTATGAAGAATATACAGTTCATTCAAAAGCTCAAACAGATTTACTTCAAGTTATAAGTGAGGAACGAATTCAACTTGGATTACCCTTAACAACATGGGTAGGAGCTGCTGGTATGCCTGGCCAAACAGCTTATCATGGATTTTATCACATTGGAGAACCGAAAAAAGGCGAAACAATCTTTATTACTGGCGCATCTGGTGCTGTCGGTCAAATTGTTGGACAACTCGGTAAATAAATCAACGATTATATTTGAAACGAAAATTTTATTCTTTTTCTTTTTATTCTTGTAGCTAAACGTGAAGGTTTGACAGTTATCGGATCAGCTGGTACTGATGATAAAGTAAAATGGCTTCAAACTGAACTTCATTTTGATCATGCATTTAATTACAAAACAGCTGATGTGAAAGCTGAACTTGCTAAATTTGATCCATTAAATATTTATTTTGATAATGTTGGTGGTGATCAACTTGAAGCAGCACTTGGTGCTGCTGCTAATCATGCTCGATTTGTTGAATGTGGAATGATTTCACAATACAATACACCCGATGCTCATGGTATTCGTAATCTTATATTAATTGTTGCAAAACGATTGAAACTTCAAGGTTTTATTGTCTCAGATAAACTAAAAGAGCCAAGTTTTCATCAAGAATTCTATTCGAAAATTCCAAAATGGATTGCTAATGGAGAAATCAAAGTGAAAGAAGATGTAACAAAAGGTTTAGAACAAGCTCCTGAAGCAATACTTGGAATTTTTCAAGGAAAAAATTTTGGTAAAGCAGTTATTCAAATAGCTGATGAATAATTTCTTTGTTGTCGTTTCGGTTTTTTCTTCAATAAACTAATCGGTTTTGTTCTTCTTCTTCATATTGATTCTATAAACATATACGTAAAAAGAAAAATTTTCTATTACTATTATTATTTTACCCTGGATCATAGTACCAAGTGTTTTCTTGTTTTCTAATGCGTTACTGACAGTTAAATAATTGGCATTTGCTAGTTTATCTAAGATGATTATCAAGGCATTCTTTTTTCTTGATGGAAATTAGTATTTTCCCGTTGACTTCATTTATTTGTGCATTTGGCCATACTAACCTCGACCTTTCACATGAAGTACACGTCACTAATCAGCAGATCTTTTTTTTTGTGTCATTTTCTCTCTTTTACGACGATCTGTTTAATGAGATATTCCTGTAGTATATTATATTATTCATCTCCACTAACAAACACAACATACATTTTCTTCTTCTCGACTCGGAAGTATGAATCGATTATCAATAGTTTTCTTGTTGCATATTAATATATTTTTGGCTATTACACTACCACCTACACTAACAGTGAATACCAATGGAATACGTATGTAGAAAAAGTACTTGAAAATAAATAACCCAATTTGTATATTTTGTAAATACTAATTCAGCTGCAAATGTAAAACCAATTGATGAATTCACATGTAAAACTGATGATGGCAGATGTAATGTTTTCTTATTTTTTATTTTTCAAAAATATATTTATTTGCTACAGTTTTTCTAGTTGAAATTCCACTCTATGGCAAATATCGTTCAGGAACAAATCCGTGTAAAGGTAACAACATATTACTGATGAACGATGTAAATAGATCTGATCTGACTCAGAAGAGTACGTGTGAGAGAGAGAGAGAGAAGAAGAAGGAGAAGAAATGGTAACACCTTCCTCTCCGATCTTAAAAATTATTTTTTTGGATTTAATTAGAAAAAACAATTCATCTATTCAACTGTAATCGTACCTATTGCAACATAAATAGATAGTAGACGAGTATAAAGATTCCTAGCTATTTGTTTATCTGAAATATATCGATATCGACTATGTCGAAACATTACCCAATATATAACTGTGATTTCATATTTCTAGTTTGTACTTGCACTGCAACAGGATTTTTATGTGAAGATCAATGTGAAACAGTTCCAGCATCAACTTCAACTAGTACAGGTACAAAAAATGTTAACTTAATTGAATATCTACATTTGTTGTTTTTTAGAAACAACAACAACAACAATAACTACCAGTACTAGTAGTAGTAGCAGTAGTAGTGCTACTAGTAAGGCTACAGTTTTCAGTACAGCTTCAACATTATCTGATCAATCCATCGTATCATCTTCTCTGACAACATTGATTTCACCAAATAATGGTGGCGGGACAACAACTTCAATATCATCTATGGGTGGTCCGGATGATGACATCATTGATAGTTTATGTGCACGATCAACGCCTGCACGCGATTATGCTTATGTGGATTGTAGTGAAGTCTATTTAGCAGGAAAACGAACAAGTGGAATTTATGAAATATGGTAAGAAAAGTTTTGAAAAATTAGCATAATTATTCAACAAAAAAAATATTCGTTTAAAGGCCTCGTACAAGTCCAAAATCATTTCGCGTATTTTGTGATATGGATACAGATGGCGGTGGATGGACAGTTATTCAACGTCGTGGTGATTATAATCAACAATCAAATTTTTTTGTTACATGGTCATCATATAGACGTGGTTTTGGTGATCTTACACGCGATTTTTGGCTTGGAAATGAAAAAATTCATACATTAACAAATCAAAATGAATATCGTCTTCATATTGATATGGAAGATTTTAATGATCAATCACGTTTTGTTGACTACGAATGGTTTTTTATAACAGACGAGCAAACAAAATATACATTAAATTTAGGTCGTTACATGACAACATCAACTGGCGGTGATTCGTTATCATATAATCGTGGTATGCGTTTTACAACACGTGATCAAGATAATGATCAATCAATGTCAAGTCAGTGTGCAGAAAATTACAAAAGTGGCTGGTGGCATACAGGGTGTACGTTAGCCAATTTAAATGGACTTTATTTACGTGGAAATGATTCAACTGCTACAGGTGTCTTTTGGAATAATTGGCTAGGTGCAAAATATTCATTGAAAACATGTGCGATGAAAATTAGACCAGTTGGTTTCAATACAGAAATGCTCTCTTGAATAATAACATATAAGGATCTGTTTTCTTTTCTTCTGTACAGTGCTTGTTTTTTCTATTCGTCTGGAACGGCAAACTGAATGATAAAAAAATTGATTCGCATATTTTATAATTAATATCTAATTTTTTTCCTGATAAATATATTAAATGTTTTTAGAGGAAGATTTCGTCGAAAAGTTATTCTCTTTTGTATCAATAGATTTACACTAAAATAATGTTTTAAAACAAAGTATTCACTTGTTTAATGAAGGATTCTAACTAGCATTTCTTTTACATATTGTGTAGGAAGAAAAACAAAAAACATATGACTCATAATCTTATTTTGTATTGTTCCAAAACAAATTTATATTTCAACAACGTAAAAGAAACTGTTTTAAATTTTTTTTTAATACTTTCTCTCTCAATGATTATTCATGAATTGTGAGAAATTTAACATGTTATGCATTTGTAGTACTAATGTTTGAATATATATTCTATTCAATTAATACAATTTCGAATCAATTTTGCTAAGCTTTTCTAGTCATATTGTACGGATTCATATTTTAAATTATGTATTCGTCGAATATTTATCTGTTATCATAAAAGAGCATGAATGTCGACAATATTTGCATATACAACAAAGTAACAAATATTAATATAATGGTAGTATATTTTTAAACAAATTAGTTTTTTGGTTCTCTTGAAAGAAAGAGATCATCCAAAGCGATCAATCATGTTTTTCTTTTTTTTATTAGAGACGACAACTAACGTAAAGTAGAAAGGTTCTTTACGCCTTTTGATTTTTGTGTACTCAAAAAGTGAGTACACTCTAGATTCGATCAGTGTGCCCGGCCGTTAACACGATAACTCTTGAAAGCCTCATCTAATTGTCTTGAAATTTTGTGCACAGAATGATCTCATCAATATATCAGTCGAGTTCGAAGATGAGAAGGATCCGTAAAGAAATGACTGAGTTATCGGGAAAATTGTCATTATTGACCAGACCATCCCTGGGAGGGGGGGGGAGGGGTACAGGGATTTTTCAAAAAAAACTTTTTCTCAGAATTATTCAAAACATATATAGATCGACTCAGTTTTTGCAGTACACGTAACAATTGGATGCGAATTCGATGTTTCCTCATTTATTCTGAGATATTCTAGATTTAGAAATTTCTTGAGTTAGAGTATTGCTTTAGAAAATCCGTCATTTTTTAAACCAAAAATTTTTATATTAATTATTCATATCGACATCTTAAATTAAAAAATAACGAAATGAAATATAACGAAAATATCATTGAACTAATTTAGAGTTTCTCTCGATGTGCATGAAAAGGATACTAAACAATAGTTGCATGCCAGTTTTAAATAAATTTCACTATTTTATCAAAGCTAGTAATTAATTTTCAAAATAGCATTAATATATTTTTACACTACAACACCATCTCTTGATTGTGACAAATAATGTCATAAAATTTTTTAACTATGTTTTTAATCTATTAAGACATATATCTATATAGTTTACAAGCTTGACATCCAGAAGAAAATTGAGATTTGATATGTGCCAGCTCAGAATCAATAATAGTCAATATTTTTCAAGTTTTTTTTTTATTTCTCTATTACAGAACAACGTTTGGGACACGAAAATACAACGTAAATGTCAACTAAAATAGTCTATTTTGAATTCAAACTTTCATATTTTCTCGAAACAATCTGTTTTAATCATTGACTATACTATACCCAGGCATATTCCATGAACGGGTAGTTTATTCCTATTGGTCGAAATATTCATCGCAGAAAAACGAAATGCCTCAGAAATGAGTCATCGATTAGCTATCTTATACAATAGTTTGAGTAATGATGGCAAGAAAAAAAAAACAAACCCTTTACTTTATTCTATAAATAGATAAGCAGCGTCTCATCTATTTAAGATAAATAATTGCTATCTTACATTAATAATATTTCACAATCATTAACTTGTATGGTAAAACTGTATCATCATGGTTTTCGAGAATTTAGTCGTTTATTTACTTGATAAATATTTAAGTGATTACATCGAAAATTTAGATACAAAAAAACTTCAAATTGACTTATGGAACGGTAAGCTTTTTTCCAAAATGTTTTTTTGTACATTATGCATATAATTTTATAATTATTCTTAGGTAATGTTGTTTTGGAAAAACTTTATCTAAAACCAAATGCATTAGTATGCTTATCTGATAAGAAAAACAAGAAAATTAATTTTTTTTTATCATTCTAGGCTGATTTAAATCTTCCTGTCACGGTGTCTCTTGGTTATCTTGGTATATTGAATTAATTTTAATTTCAGTGTTTTATTACGATATTCTGCTTAATGTTTTACTAATTTTTAGAAAAACTAACTCTTCAAGTTCCATGGTCAAATTTATATGTAAATCCAACAAAAGTAACAATTGATGGACTTTATTTATTAGTTGTTCCCAAAACTGGTTCGTTCTATTCATCATATTTTTGATTTGTATTTATTTTACTTTTTTGGTGTTATTAACATAATAGAAGTTGAATATGATGCTAAACGTGATGAAAAAGAACACCATGAAGCAAAGATGAAAGAAGTTCATAAAATCGAAGAACTGCGTAAAGAACAAGAAGCTCTAAGTACCAAAAAAATAACTGAAAAAAATTGCTTTTCTACTACTTTTTAATGTTCTTTTACAAATAAAGAAAATGCTGCAACAGCCGATAAAACTAGCGATACATTTGTAGAACGTATGCAATTACAAGTTATTCGAAATTTAGAATTATCAATTCGAAATATTCATGTTGTCTATGAAGACAAATCAACAAAACCAAATCACCCATTTGCTTTTGGATTTACACTTAATTATATTACATTACATGTGAGAATTTTCAAAAAATTAAAATTCAATCAAAAAGTTCACTTTGCATTTAGACAACCACTTCAGATTGGAAACCAACAATACTTAAAGAAGATACTCCATTGATTCATAAGGTAAAGTACTTGCATTTAAAATTTTAATATATTGTTCCAATAACATTCTATATAACAATAATATCGGTTAACAACTCTTTTTATTTCTATTTTAATAAGAAGAAAACATTTGAAATTGACTTGGAAAATAATTCAATAGATTTTGAATTATACCGTACAATTCGATATATTTATGATTGACGTACGAATAATATCATCAGAAAACTATGTTTTATTTTAGCTTGGTGAGTTAAGTGCTCTATCAGTTTATTGGAATACTAATGCTCAATCACGATCTGGATTGCCAAGAGAAGAAGCGCTTGTATGTTACATATACTTTTCTTCTTCAATATGTTTTGCTTTCAAATTTGCTTTCTTCTGAAATATAGAAAAATCTAAGAGCAAACATAGCAGTTGATAATCAACAAACACCAACTGATATATCATATAGTAAATGGTTAATTGTTTCTCTGTGGTATTATTCTAAAAAATGATTTATATTTAGTTCTTCGCCCATTAAATATTAAAGCAAAAGTTATATTAGTAATGAAACCACGTCAAAATGAATTTAAACAACCAATGTTCGATATTAAAGTTGATCTAGATGAAATTAGTTTAAATATTAATCGTGATCAAGTAAATTCAAATAGAAAAAAAAACAAATTTTCTATTGCAATTGTTTACTTTTAGTATTCTGATTTACTTGATTTACTGGAAGTTCGAGATTATCTTAGTCTTCAATCAAAATACATAAAATATCGTATTAAAAATGATGTAGACGAAAAGCTCACTGTTAAAAAGTACTTTATTTATTTTTATTCATTATTATTGAATACAACGAATATTTTATAGATGGAAATTTGCATACGAAGCAATAGTTAATGAAGAAATTCGACCAAGATTTGAATGTTATAAATGGGAAAATATTAAACTACATCTAGATCGTTGTCGAGAATATCGTTCATTACATTTTCAAGACTTATTGGGAAAAGCAACAGTCGAACAAAAACAACGAGCAGAAGTAAACTAAATGAAACAAATATATTAAAATAAAGGTTATTTATCTTAAAACAATAGGAACTAGAAAAAAAACTCGATGTTTTCAATTTAACATATATTCGTCGAAGTGCTGAAATAGAAGCTAAGAAGAAAAAAGAACAAGAACCAAAAACTTGGTGGGGAAGTGTATCAAATTGGTGGGGTGGAAATAAACCACAAGATAATCCAGGTTTTCTGCCTTATAAAACTTCTTATTAGCTTATATCCACTTTTTATTTCTTTTTGATGGTTAGATCTTGATTTTGAAAAAGTTATGTCACCCGAAGAAAAGAAAAAATTATATGATGCGATTGGTTATGAAGGAGAAGATACTTCTACTTTAAGTTATCCAGAAGAGGTAAATCTTACTTGTTGATATCAAACGAAAAATCTGTGTGCCTTTGTTTTTTCGTATTTTAGTATATCGACATTGATTTAGCTATTCGGTTGAATCTACTTGATGTTAATGTTTGGTCGAAACTTGATAAAGATGATACTCAGTAAATGCAAATATTCTATTGAAATTTTTTTTTTTTACTTTTTCTTCTATAGATTTCGAATTATTGCTCGAGCAGTTATACCTGATACTGGTTTAGTCTTCAAAAGAAGACCAGCGACGACAGCTATTGCGTATGTTTCTGTTTTTTAAATTACTAATTACTAATTCGAGATCTCAATCTATTTCATTTAGTGCATTTGTTGATTTGGGTTCATTTCAAGTTTTTGGTATAGCTAGCGATTTAAAACAACCCGAGTTTTCAAATGATAGTCGTCCTGTACTCGCTCAACCTGTTTACAAATTATCATCATCATCATCATCATTGAAACAAGAAAAGTTATTGAAAGTTGAATTCGAAACGAATCCATTAGATAAATTATCGGATTATCGTGTTAAAGTCGTTGCACAGTCTCTTGAAATAAAATACAATGCAGTAAATATAGAATTGTATCACTAAAATTGATAAAAAAAATTGTCTACTTTAGCCAACAATTAATAAATTGGCTGAATGCTTTGAACAAGATACTCAACGTAATCTTCAAGGGTAAAAATCCTAATGTAAACTAAAAATTTCTATTAAAAAAATGAATTTATCTATTATAGCGTTAAACAAGTCGCCTTATCAACTTATACCGATGTTAAACATCGTTCTTATATATTAATGAAACATAATATTGAAAAAATCAAAGTTCTAGATATTGATATCGATATTCAATCTGCCTATTTTCTTTTAGCAGAAAAAGGAGTTTACCAAGAGTAGGAGAATCGTTTTTTTTCAAGTCTCGTAATCTGTTAATTTTGTTTTGTTTTGTTCTAGTGGCGTTGCTGCAATTTGTATGGACTTTGGTCATTTAACATTAAAACGAAAAACAAATAATAGTGGAGAACAAGTCATTTCATTAAAAGAAGCAAAAGCAAGAATGAGAAAATGTTTTTTTTAATGATTTAATAACTTTATTTATTATAGGATATTCAAGAAGCTCGTGAAAGATCTTACACTCAATTTAAATTAAAACTTGAAAATGTTCAATTGATTTATGCTAATCGAAGTAAAATAGTAACGAACTTATTGAAACGATACATCGATATTTTTTCTTCAAACTTAGATGAAAGTTGGCAGAAAGCGTGCTTAGAAAAAAATACTAGTTTACATTTAATTCGACCAATGGAACTTGATTTAGATGTTGGTAAATGTCTTTATAGTGATGATGCTATTTTGCCTGCGTATGTATTTCATGGTAAAGAAAGTGTTTAATTAATAAGTTTTTGATTTTAGTTGGAAAGTTGCTGGAAAACTTCCTAGTGTAGTTTTACGCTTATCAGATAAACGTTTGTTTCAAATAATAAATCATATTCAATCAATTGAATTTCCTCAATCGAAAAATCCAACTGTTTCGTATTCGATTGAATCCGAAGTTTGTCTCGTTTGGGTTTTTGTAGTTGAGAAATATATGTATTTTACTGGTTTTAGCCTACAACTATACAATCATCACTGAATAATCCTGAACAAACACTAGAAGCTGTCGAAGGAATGACACCAGTTAAGAAAACAAAAGAAAAGGCTGAAGCAGAAGAAAATAAGGGGAAAAACGTCAAAACTGCAGATACAAATGAGAAAAAAAAAGAATTTGAAGGCCAATTAACACAACTAGAAGCGGCATTTACACTTGATAGAGTAAAGTTATGATTATTTTTATTTTCATTAGTGATTTATGTGGTTTTTATTGTTTTTAGATCGATATACATATCGATGAAAGTGCAAAGGAAAAAAATGAAGATGAACCGTTTCTACGTTTATCACTTGAATCCATCGTTGCTAAAACAAAAATAAAAACATTCGATATGGAATTCGATGCGTCATTAACTAATTTAATAGTCTATCATGAACAATTTGTTGGCAAAGACAATCAACAGTTACGTTTATTATCAGCTCAATTAGAGCAAACAAATAATTATCAAAGTCAAAAATTAGTTAGCCTAAATCTACTTCATACATCATCAGAAAATCCATTATTTTTATCGTCAACTTATGATGGAATCGAAAATAGAGCTCATGTTCATTTCAGTAAACTTGTTGTCACATTACAATTAGAAGCACTTCTATCAATATTAAGATTTCAAGATTCATTAATGAAAAAATTACCACAAGATACATCAGAACCACAACCAAAAGAGAGACAAGATCAAAAACAAATTGAAGATAATAAAAATAGTGATAAAACAGGAAAAAATGTCAAAAAAAATGGTAAACATCTTGTTCAATCGAGATGAAATGATATTGTTCCTTTTTTTTTCATACTGAAGTTTTCATATCTCAACGGAATGAATCGGGTCGAAGCTGAAAACTTTAGAATACATAGTTAGCAAATGAAATTCTCTAAATGTCACTCATGTTTGTGTCGAAAGTATATGTAAAACTAATTAATTAATAGAAATCCCTCGAGAAGTTTTGATCTATATTTTTATTGCAGCTGAAATATTGTAATCTTCAGGTGCTTTTCAATAGTGTATCATGATACCCATGAGGGAAACTGAGTTTTGATTTGAAATTTTTTTTAACGGCAGATCCTTGGAAAAAGTATTTATTATAAAGGTTTTATATCTTTTTTCTTGTTCTAACCATAAGAGAGGACTACGGTAAAAATATATCCATTAGATTATGCAAATATCGAGATATATTCGATGCATATATTTCAGGATAGAAACAAATCAAAAGTGCCAAGATATTTACAATAATTGAAATTCTTTCCATTCTCAAGTTTAATTAAAAATGCAAAAAACTAGTTTTCTTGATATCTTTCAAAAAAGTCATGATATCGACTGGAAAAATATCTAAAACATACAATGTTGTAACAACAATATAATAGCAATGCGTACTTCATACAAAAAAATTCATAAATCGTTAAAATACATACAGTGTCAATATAAAGATGATTAATTAGATAAGAGATTCCTCTCCAAAGTCGCATAAACCGAGATTGAAATATAGAATTGTAACTGAACCACGAGAAACTAGTATTGACTGTTAGACGTTCCTCGCATAGAAAGACAACAATCATTTATTTAAAAAACGTATTTTATTATTTTTCTGATAACATTAAAATATGACTAGGAAAGAATGAAATGAGTGTCGAATATTTTCTCCAACAAGTTACGTTCTATTCTAATGATGAAAACAGCTTGAAACTAACATAGTTTAACTTCAACATTTGCCAAATAAATTCTAAAAGCGTTTCATCGACCTACGCATACGTCTTAAATATAAATAATATCTTTAGAAATGTTTAGAATTAAATTAAATTAATAATTTCGTCGAATTATTTATTGAGTATATCTATGCATATATCAGTAGTTATTCTAGTTGTTCATCCGATTTCAAGAATCCGAAGTTTTATTAAACATATGTTGATTTGTTTGAATTCTCGAACTCTACTGAACATTCACTTTATTAACTTTTAGATGTTCCAGCTGCACCTTCAGTTAAAATTGATGCTGATTTAGAAGAATTCCGAATAATACTTGCATCAAAACAAGCAAAATTATTTGATATACAAGTTCAAGGTAAGAAAACAAAATTCTTTTCCAGTTTTAAATCTAATTTTGTTCTATTTAGGTGTCAAAGCGTATGTATCACAAGCACCGGAGAAAACGTTAGTCAATCTAATTCTATCTGATTTACGTATTTTGGATCCATATAAGAATGCACGATATCGAAAAGTATGAGAGAAAAGAAGAAAAAAAGAGAGAGAAATTACTATTGTCAAATGTTTATTTTATCTATAATTTTTGTTTAGATTATTTCTCAACAAGGCGATGATAAAGAATTACTTCGTGTTGATCTATCATTATTTAATTATCCCGAAGGATATGACAAAACTATAGATACATTTGATTGTGATGTTAAAGTTCAATTTGCTAAAGCAAACATTGTTTTCCTATTCAAACATATTGACGCAGTTTTGGTAAAGCATTTTGAAGAAAATTTTGTATTTTTGTTCAATTTCGTACTTTTGCTTTCAAGGGTTTTCTTAATTCATTAAATATAACGAAAGCTGCACTGAATATAGCATCAACACAAGCCGATGCTGCTTATGGACAAGTACAAAAATTACAAGAACAAGCATTTAAAGTTCATCTTGATATAACATTTAATGCACCAAATATAATTATTCCGACAAATTCATATTCTGATCAAGCACTTTTGTTGGATTTGGGTAAACTAACGTTAAAAACAAGTTTTGATGATGATCCAAAAAAGTCTCTTGTTGAACGACAAAATGTTCGATTGGAAAAGGTTCTAGCTAGTCGTGTTAAACTTGATCAAGACTGTAATATAATCGGTGAAGCTATTTTACTCGAATGTGCTGAATTAAATACATTAATTAATCGTTTACTTTATCCAGAAAAAGTTAAAACTGAACCAGGAATTTTAATTAAAGTGGAATGGGGCCTTGTTCATGTAAGTTTTGATGCCTTGCTTTTGCTTTTGTTTCTTTTCTTTATTAATTCTTCTTTTCTTTTGTTTATTTCAATAGTTTCGATTAGCAAAAGATGATTATTCATGTGTCATGAGAGTTTTAATGGAGAATTTTTCGGAAAATATTCGTGATGAAATACCTGACAGTTTTCAAAATGAACAGTATCGCTATAGACAAGAAGTACAAGAAAAAGAAGAAGATAAATTAAGAAATGATGTTATCAAGAAACAGAAAGGTTCGTCAGATGAATGTTATTTTTTATTTTTTGAAAAATAAACTCATACATTGTACTGTCATTTGTTTTAGAATCTCTCATCACGGATGTAGTAGTACCAACACTTAAACTTCGAGCAGAAATCAAAAAATTGGCATTAACACTTTATCTTGGAGAATCCGATTTGGTTAGTTCTATTTATAACAAAAACAATATTTTCTTCTCGACTTTTAGCGTTATATTCATTGTTGTAAAACACCTTGTGTTTATAGTCAAGATCAGTATTAACGAATATCCTTAGAAAATCTTAGAAGAACTTCTTACATTCTAAGCAAATTTTTGTGATTTTTGTTTGCATATTTATCAGAGAAAAAGCATTCAGACAAATTTATCAAAAACCTTTCATACCAGTTTCCTTAATTATGGAAGATTCATTGCGACATTTCTTGTTCTATAAAAAGAAAAAGACGATTGTTCATAACAGTATATTGTTTCTTTTTGGATAGATTGAAATAGAAAAAAAAACACAAATTGATCTAGTACTGACAAGAGGGGGCTATAGTCATTTTTTTCCGAGCCTATTTGTACTCAAATATCAGTGTGTATAAGACTTCTACTGCTATTAGCGTAGTATTGTTAGTGTGGATGTAGTTAGTCTACATAGCTCATCAATTGAGTGTGCCATAAGCATAGAATCGACTGATATACAAAGCATTTATATTATCTAGTGTCTGGAAAAATGATTCGACTGATTTTGTTTGAAAAATAATCCGACCTCTAGTTTTTCCAAAGCCCTATCCTTAAAATACTGATAATTCTTTAGATCAATCATTATTGTTCACAGTTACTATATATAACAATCTATATATGAATTCTTCAGATAGATGTACAAGTTAATATTATGACTGGATTTATTGATATAAAAGCCTCACCGACATTTCGAATGAAAACAGTACAGACATCTAATATACTATAGATGAATATTTTAGAAGTCATTATCATGTATAAACTGAATATCAGATTCTCGTTTTTAAATAATCTTCATTTTTCCATATTTAATATTTTTATTAGAGTGTTCGCCGTGGGCCACGCAATGATAAATTAAAATTAGCCTATGTTGAAATAGAAGCACTTGAAGCAATATTTCGTCAAAGTTCTGACGGAAGTTATAAAGCTACGGCACGTGTAAAAAATTTCCTACTCGATGATCTCCGTGAAACAAATAAATCGACAAGTGTAACACGTATGATGGATCGACATTTTACAGTTGATCCTAATACTCATATGTTTATTGCATCCTTTGAATTCCAACCAAAAAGCCAATCACGTTCAATCGGACTTCGACTATGTAGGCAAAATAATTTTTAATTAAAGTATTTTCAATTAGTTCGTTTTTGTTAGTAACTGCACAACTTGAAAGTCTTTATATTTGTATCAGTTTGGATTATTTAATGACTTTACAAGATTTTTTTATTTCTGGTTTACCGTCGGGTAATGTTGAAACGAAAAAAGCCATTGAACAACCACCAATAACTACAATGGATCAAGGAGAAAATGATCAAAATCGAACAAAAATCGACAACAAACCAGCAGTTATTACTTCAAAGACTTCTACAGCATCATCAAAACGTATGAAATCGTTTTAGAACGAATATCTTTATACTATAATATAAGAGTTTCTTTTGCAGCTACGACTACTCAGAATGCAGCGGCGCCTGATGCAGATTCAGAACTTGAAACTCGAATGGATGTTATTGTCAAAAACCCTGAAATAATTCTACTTGAAGACCAACATAATTCAAATTCGAATTGCCTTGTACTTGATGTAAGCGTTAGTCTATTGATTTGCAGATTATGTCATTTAAAATCAAATTAAATCTTTTAGTTAGCTTTACAATTACGTATGATAATGATTGGTAATGAGACACAATTATATGGTTGGTTAAAAAATTTAACAGTTTATAGCTCAAATTATGCTGAAATACGAGATTCTAATAATCTTGAATCAAAAATAAAATATCGTGTAAGTTGAGAAAACAATCAATTGTATGTGTGTAATAATTGATTCATTGCTTTCAGATTTTACAACCGGCTAAAATTGATCTTTTCTTATCAATGAATAATGAACAACAAAAAATGGATGTACGAATATCAGAGATTATTGTTAGTATAGCACCAGCTGCTATTCGAACTCTAATTGGTGTCACAAGTTCATTAGGCACATTACAGGTTAACAGGAAGGAAAATGTCTAGCAGAAATATATCTTTTTGTTGTTGTCAAAAATTTTAGGCAATTACAAAAGATCAAATAGAAAAAATCGATTCGAAAGCACTATTTGATCCGAAGTCCATTAAGGGTGCAAATTTTTGGTTTACAAAAGGTTTTATTAAATATTTTTAGCGACTTTAATTCATTAATTTTTTTAATTAGACTATGAACAACAATCGCAAGAAAATAATGAACCACAACAGCAAGCTATTACTCAAGAAACCAATCAAATTAAAGAAAGCGAAGAAATTAAAAAACCATTAGCACAAAAAGTATTGAAATTTGGAGAATAAAAACAAATTACTTTTTACTCAAAATAAAATATATTTGCTTTTTTCTAGTTAATGTTAGCGTTGGAAACAATTCAAATAAAACTTGAGGTTGGATTAGGTTCAGTAACAAAATCTGTTGTAGCCATGTGTTTATCAAATTTAACGGCTGATGTTCAAAATTGGTCATCGAATGTAATCAATTTTTAGATTTTAATTCATTTTTGTTTCATCTTTTCATCTATTTAGATGATACTTGAATCGACAGTCAATGTTGAGGCAGCATTGTACAATGAAAATATGCTTGCTTGGGAGCCACTTATTGAACCAACAGTAGATGCTGATGGTGCAGCTCTTTCACCATGGTATCTTGCTTGTTCAATCTCACCTGTAAGAATATGAATTAAATTTTTTGTTTTTTCGATTAACATAATGTTTCATTCGAAGTTATGGTTTTAATAACCATTTATATCTCTGGGCGATTCTAATTGAACTGATGTATTTTAGATTCTATCGAATCTGATCTCGAGAGTTTTTTTTAGGTCTTTTTTTCAATTAATACTCTATTTTATAGAATGCCAGATAGAGTTAAACAAGTGTCGAATAGATGACGCGATGGGTAACATACATAGGGAAAGCATCAACTGCTTTTTGTAGTTGTCAAACTAATGGTTAATGTCGATTATTTAAAGATAATATATCTAAAAGAAGCTGAATTTGATTAATTCATCATTTCAGGCACGAAAAGATATCGAATATTACCGAAAAACTATATACAACGTATGTTACTAGTATTGTTGGTGATGGAGTTATGCCTAACTAAGCTCATTTAATACATCGAATATTTAATTTCAAACATGAAATTTATTTATTTTCCTTTTTTTTAATTTAAAGGCTCTTCCATTGACAGAAACGGCTGAATCATCACCATCAATAGATGCACGCGAACGTAAAGAAAGTGTTTCATCGTCAAAACCAAAACAAAACATAGTTATATGTGCTGATCAATTACTTAATATAACAATAACCAAAACTGGTCTTGATCTTGTTCAACGCTTATCGGCTTTATTTAATGATGTTTATAACAAACGATTACCACCAAGCGATGATGCGGATGATCAATCGATGTTATCTTTATTTAATGAAACGGGACAAGACATATTTATTGATTGTTTAGATGGACTTCAAGTATATACTAAAAATATTTTCTTGTTTTTCGTGTTTTACTTATTAACTTCTTTTAAAGTTTGCTAACAATCCATCGTTAAAATCAATGACTCTTAAATTCAATGAATCAATTCCACTAAATATATCTAATGAACATCAAACAGCTGGAAGACTTTCAGTTATTGATGAACAAAATGTAACGCGACGACAAGAATTTACTGTTAAGGTAAAAATAAAAACAAAAGCGTAGCACAAAGATATACGCGAATAGAATCTATTTTCTTTTGTAACGATGGGAGAGTTTTAAAATATTTCACAAGGAAATCTTCGAGTCAGGAAATCTCATTATGCAAATTTTTGAGTCGACGCTTGAAAATTAGTTATTTTACTTTGGTTGAGATGAATTTTAAAATTCATTCCAAAAAAATACTGTAGAAATTCAGAATCTCCGCAGCAACTAGCTAAGACACCAAAATATTTTCACAATATTGAAAAATCATTTCTGTCTACATGTTTCAAATAGTTTTCACTGCAAAGTAATGGATAAAATGAAAAACTTCTCTTGTCAACTATTTTTAAATACTTTTCAACCGAGCTAAAAGGATCGATCAAACAGTATTCTTCATAGGTACTATTTTATTTCTATTTGAAACAATATGATGGCAGTTGTATCTGCGCGGATAAAAAACTGTTCAACATGCAGTCAGAAACAGTGAAAACTTTTCATTCTGATATAGATTTTGTCGTATTTTACTTTTTTTTCCTTTAAATGAGAGAAACATTGGCGAATATTCTGTACTAAAACATTTTTTCATCATGAACTACTAGTATTTTTTTTTATGAATAAATACTTATTTCGTAGATTCAAGGTGCTGTTAAAACGGTTAGCATTAGTCGCACAGTGAAACGTGTATATGACTTAGGTCAATCCTTGAATCCAAATTGGCCTATACAAATGCTTTGTGATACTCAAATGCAAAATGAACGTCGACGCATCACTCTTAGCTCAATAGTTCGAATTTATAATAGCACTACATTACCATTACTTGTTTTAAGTGTTGATGCGACTGATCCAAACATTCGTAAACGATTAGCAAGAATTGAAATTAATAAAGATTATCACGTACCGATTGATTTGCTTTATACATATTCAAGTTCACCGATATTTATTGCAATCGACGAGTAAAATTATTTTTAATTAATTATACAAAAAAGAAAACAGAATATTGCTCATTTATATAGAGGTGAAGAAATACACGATTTTTTTTCATTTGATTGGGAAAAAGAATATGCAGAAGAAAGAATGCTGAAATTAAAAAGTGGAAATGAAGCAAACTTTATTGTAAGAATTTTTGAATATAATTTTCGATATACGTGTATATTATTTATTTATTTAAAGGTTTTTAAAGAACTAATTGGATCTTACACAGAAAATACCGATCAATCTGAGCGTACAATTTTTAATCTTCATGTTCATTCAGCACTTTATTTAACAAACCTTTTGCCAATTGATATTGAATGTTCAGTTGATGTAAGTCTCAGATTCTACTTAGAATAAGTATGATCTTATTAATTAGTTGAGCGAATTGAAAATGAATAAAAATTAAAAATTTGATCACTAGTAAATTCTTATCATATTATAGTAACAAATGATTCATAATTACTTTTTTCACTATAAATTATATGTACTGCTTGCTAATACAGAATATTTTTATATAAGATTTATAAACACAAACGGATTTATTGATTAAGGAAAATTATCACAAATAGTCGTATTTGCAAAGAAATATTGCCGAAATTGTGATATGGAAATTATGAAGTATTTGACCTGTTTGTTGTAGCTCATATATTCCATCATGCGTTTATATCATTTTCTATTATTCAATACACTCTATTTTATCGATAAAATTTTATTGTTTTATTTCGTGAAGAATTCGGTGAGGTATTTCAAATTGAATTGCAATATCGGAAGACGATACCATTACTATTGAAAATCACATTGAAGCAGTTTAATTTTAAACATCTAGGGATATATTTGTTTTCAGCATTCTTTTAGTTTATACTCTTAATAGTAAATATGTAGTCAGATCAAATATTATAATGAAATACTATTGAAGCAAGATGTTTTATCTTAAATAAATAAGTTTTTTTGTATGATAACTACGAAAGTTCATATTTTTATGCGTATATTGTAGCTTTGCTTTTACGTTATGATATACATAGCGATGAATAATTTTATTTTTTTATTTAGAATGGCGAACAATTCGCTTTAAAACCAAGTCAATTACATTTATGTACATCTGGTAAAAGAAGTTCTAATTTAGTTTTTACGGTAAACTATTTATTTGTTAGTATTTAAAATGACTTCTTTCATCATTAGATTCCATCATATGATAACATAAAATGGATATCTGAACCTGTTGATTTGAAAGTCGAAGGAAAAGGTGATAAAAATGAACATCTTGTTGTCTTCCATAGTGAAACTGCTCCACACTCACAACAAATATTAGTAAAACAATCTTTGGAAGAAAAACAAACAGAATTTTTATACTTTTTCTTTTATTTTTAAAGCGAATGATTTTACGCGTTGATGCTTATCATGAATCATATCGATTGTTAATATTTTCACCATTTTGGATTATCAATCGTTCCGATCTTAAAATTGATTTTCAAGTAGGAAAAATTCTTAATTTTATCATGTTTTTATGTTTTTATTCGATAGATTGAAAATAATCGAACATTTATTGATGTTATCGAAACACCATATTTAGTTTGTCCAGATAGTTTTACAAGTGAAGCAAGCAAAAAAGTAAAATATTTATCTAGAATAAAAGAATGTAAAACTTATAATTTTATAATCAGGGACAAATATGCGTTCATAGTCTTGAACAAACTGATGCGGTGGCAAAATTTTCTGAGAAATTTTCTCTTGATGTCATTAAAAGTACCGGTTTAACAAGTTGTAAAGTATCCAATAATCGTACATATATGGTAAAATAAATAATTAGATAGAGAAAATGTTTTGTTAAGAGAATTTTTTTCGAATAGATTTGTGTGGATATTGCAACAAGCTCATTTGGTTTAACAAAACTTGTTACACTCTCACCTGCAATGGTTATTGTCAATAAATCCACGGTATGTTGAAACAAAGTTTTTATTTGACTATCATCATTTTTCATTGGCTTTTCAAAGATTGGAATTGAAATAGTAGAAGTCTTATCTGATCAAGAACAAGATCAATGGGAAATAATAAATCCTGATCAAGTAAATAAATCTACTTTTAAAATTTTGTTTTAATATATGAACAATCATTTCAGTTGATTCCATTTTGGCCACGAAATATCAAAGATATTTTAGCACGTATTCGCTATGCAGATACTCGTGTAACGTCGAGCGCATTTAAAATGAACCAAAAGCATCGAACGCTTTTACGTATGGATGATGAAGAACATCCAGCAATTTTCGTAGAAGTAGCAGCAACAGATTTTGATGGTGTCAAAATTATTTTTGAAGATTATAAAATTGGCGACGCACCTTTGCTAATTGTAAATTGTTTAGCTAAAGAGCCAGTTGGTTTTTGTCAAATTACCGATGTGTAAGTTTTAAATGATTATTGTTTTCTTTTTCAACAAAATTCAACTAATTAACTTTTATTTTAATATAGACGCTCAGAAATTCTGCCACCACTACAGTATGTTTATTATACATGGATAGATCCATTGAAACCAAGAGAATTATTGGTATCATGTGAATCTAAGTCAACTAAAATTGATTTTAGTGTAAGTAATTGGCTTTTACTGCTAAAATATTTTATCACTAGTTTGAGTGCAGTATGTACCATTAGTTTCATTGTAATAATTAAATATATTCAAATGCCAACTTTTGATCATAATCTGTAATATTTTATCGATCGGTTTTTTTTTAACCAAATGTAAAAAACAACACAGTTCCTATAACATTTTCGGTACAAAATCAACACACTATCTTAATAGAATCTCATTTGTGGCACGATGCTTCAAATACCTAAAGGTTCCTAAAAATCCCTTTGAGCTTTCATGAAAAAATTTGAAATCTGAAGATGATAACATTGTTTTCTGATCTGTAATACAGATTTTCGTTTGGCTTAAATCAACTTCGTAATCGTAAAAACGCGTATTTTGGAGTTGAGAACTTAACTTTTCTTTTTCAGAGTAATTAAAATAAAAGAGATCTTTTAAATTAGCCGTCGTTTTCGCTGATAGTCAATATAATCTGTTGTAGCGATGAAATTAGCTGATAATCGATATAAGTCATTGAACAATCAATCAATAACATTTTCATTAAACTATACCAACATGTATGGATAGATAGAAATGAAAAAATTTTCTATACATTAATAAAGAAAAATTACTAACTACAGTATACCTCAAACATTTAGAAGATCGTCATTTTATCTACTCCTTCATAATGAGGATTCTTGTTTCTTTGCAAGATTAAAGATCTATCGACCATATACATATGAAGAGTTATCTATATTTATTCTTGCATTCGGTTGGAACTTGGATGTTATTTAGATTTATTTAATTTCGTCGAACATAAACTTACAAGTGCTATGTATTCGATCGGATGAAATAGCTGATTCATACTAAATGATGTTCCGTAGTTCGTGGAGATTATATGATTTGTAAAAGAATGCCATTTTTTATAGTACTATCTATTTTCCTTTGTTTGTTTTCGATCACATATGTGTATAGCCCCAAGCATCTATGTATCATTAATCAAAAGTAAGTGTATTTGTGGTACACAATTACCTATTTACATGAATTTTGATAAAAAAAAAACAGAAAATTATCTTCAATCCACATCCTATTATTTCATCGTATTGTTTTAAATGTTTTCAAAAAAGTTTCAAATAGGAAAATATGTACACTGTATCTTGTAAGGGTAAAACTGTTCCAATTTATTTAATCAATACTAATATAGAATGAAATAGCCATTAGATATTGTTTGTATATTTGAAAAATTTATTCCTAAATGCAATGCTTCTTCTTCTATGAAAATCTTTAATCTCTTTAAATCAATCTAAGGCAACTTTATTAACTGCTGTTACGCATCTGTTGACACTCAAGACCAGAGATATAACAGCATTTAAGCTGTCTGAATGACCCTCTTTTTTTTCGTGATAAATTGTTGAAAACTTGATTGAGATGAACAGATTCTTATTTCTTAAATATTCATCGATTATTCAATAAAATAGTCAACACTAAAACTTCATTAATTAAAAATTTTCTCTACAGTCAAAAAGTGGTATATTTGATGGTGATGGTGGACAAAAAATAGCCTATAAGATATTCGATGATGGCATTCAAACAGTTTTACTCTTTGTCGAATCTGCAAAAATACAAGAAGCAGATGGAAAAGTATGAACTTGATTTTTATTTAAAGAAGAAAAAGCATTTAGTCAGTCATTTATATAGGCGTCATCATCGTCAGCAGCTGAAGCCATGGATCAACATCTAAAGATTAGTATACATGATATTGGCATTTCTATTGTCAATGATATAACACACGAAGAAATGCTTTATATAAGTTTAAACAAGTCCAAACCTGTTTGGACTGAAATGAAAAAGAATCATGTTAAACCTTTATCAAACGATGTCAATGCACATTTAGAAGAACTTTATAAAGATCATACCATAAACTTGAAAATTAATCCAAATGATACAAACCTTCAACGAAAAATATATGGAATTGATGGATTTCGAGTAAAATTGATCCGTTTTTCTTTTCGACCTTCAATTTCAAACTAACCATTTATTTTGCTTTTTTTTTGTTAGGAAGTTTCATTTCGAGGCGATGTGGCGACATTAGTTCATTCTAGACATCATAAAAAGACAGCTACAAGACAGGCATTAGATGGTCTATCGATTGATTATTCATGGTCAGCATCCGATTCTGCTTTACATATACGTATTAATCGTGTACAAATTGATAATCAACTTGATTATACAATATTTCCTGTTATGCTTTATCCAATCCCGTCAAAAGGATCAGAAAGTGATCACGCTGAAAAACCATTTGTTGAATTAAGTGTTTATCAATCTAAAGCAGCACAATCAAATATCATGCAATTTAAATATTTTAAAATACTTATTCAAGAGTTCGCTGTTCAAATTGATCAAGGTTTAATTGTTGCTATTCTTGGATTTTTTCAAACTGAAAATGTTTGTATTTTTTCCATTTTCCTGTTTTGACCTTTCGTTTTTTTTTCTCTTTCAAACAGAGTAGTACACCAATGACCATCAATATGAATACTGATTTAGAACAAATTAAGAAACCGCTTCATACTATTATTAAAGGGCAAATCGAGAGTCCATCGAGTGAAACAGAAATGCTTTTTGATAATATTCATTTATCACCACTCAAAGTATTTGAAAGATTCTTATTTTATTTTGTTGTTCTTCTCTTTTCCCTAACTAAAAACTTTTGTTTAGATTCATGTTAGTTTTTCAATGCACGGATCAAAACCAACTGAAGAATTACTAGCTGAATATCCATTAGTAGGATTTCTATTACAAACATTGAATGTTGCCGAAGTACAAGATGTTATTTTACGGTAAAATTATTATTGTTGTTTTTTTGTTCGATGATTTTCGCTTAAGTTATTGCTTTTTATTTCTAGTTTGGGCTATTATGAACGAAATCATGATAAATTCACGACAACAAAAATAACAAAAGAAGTTACAGCTCATTATCAAAATCAGTTTATGAAACAGATTCATGTGTTAGTACTTGGACTTGATGTACTTGGAAATCCACTTGGTGTTATTCGTGGTCTTGCTGAAGGTGTCGAATCGTTTTTCTATGAACCATATAAAGTAAAATTGAAAATTAAAACTAAAAAAAATAATCATAACATTTGTGTTTTATCGCTACTTAGGGTGCAGTTCAAGGTCCCATGGAATTCGCTGAAGGTGTAGCAACCGGTGTACGAGTATTATTTGGTTCAGCTGTGGGTGGTGCTGCTGGTGCTTTTTCCAAAATAACCAGTGTAGTTGGAAAAGGTTTAGCAAATTTAACATTCGATGAAGATTATAAAGCATCACGTATTCGACGTAAAGAACCAGGTGTTACTGCTACGACACATATTGCTATAGGTGGAAAAAATGTCGTTATGGTTTGTTGATATTATCTTTAAATACTTAATTTTAGATTTGATTTAATTTCGATCTATTTTTAAATAGGGTTTTGTTGATGGTGTGAAAGGTGTAGTGTCCAAACCAATAAGAGGAGCACAACATGGTGGAGCATCTGGTTTTTTTAAGGGATTAGGACAAGGTGTTATTGGTCTTGTCGCGCGGCCAACAGGTGGTGTTGTGGATTTTGCTAGTACATCGCTTGATTTAATCAAAAGGTAAAATAGACTTTTTTTCTACAGAAATAGATATTTCTATGTCGGCAAATTGTCATCCGTGTAGAAATAATCAGTTAATCTAGAACGCCCCTAATCTTCTTTGCTCTACATAGCTACTTTTATCTGAAATCTATCAGGACTACAATAGAAGTAATTAAAAAGATCTTGCAATTAGAAATAAAATGGTACGAGCTTGGATAGTCGACATGTTTGTTATCATAACTATTCTATTCATCTTTATGTATATTAGGAAAAAAACGGCTCTTTTTCTAGAAGTACAATGAGAGCATAGAATTTCCTCGGGTTTCAGTTGATATACGAAAAAAATTGCTTATTATTGAATATTAAGTGATGCAATCTATGCAGCAAAAATTTATATTATCAATCGTATTATTTCTGCTTGTATGAATCAAAGGAAATAGTCAGTTCCGTACTGATAAAACTATGATGAAACAGATTAACAAAAAAAGATCCGATTGATGCTTCGCCTGTATTATGAAACGAACATACATTGTTGTCACAAATCTATGATATATATATATATCATGCAATAATGTGAAAGAAAAAACTGTATAGCATATTTTTAAATATATTCATAAATTTATCATTCTAAAACTAAATTTTTAACATCGACTTCATATCGATTGAGCCCTTTGTCTATCCCGATCAAGATTATTATAATACATGGTTCTATTATTAAATAATATAGTATGCTACGAATACTGAAATAAAAATTGTATAGCAGCATGCATAGTATCTATATCTGATAGTCAATATCTCTATTTAGTCATTAGAAATGATTACTAAATAGTTTAATTATACATAAGAGTGAAGAGAATATGAGCTAAAATATTGACATTCAGATGGATCTTTATGATTCATTAAAATGATCGAAATCGATAAGACATAAAATAACTACATGTAATCTGTAGTCATTAGCAATCGACTGGCATAGGTAAATGTAGGTTACTTTAGTCGCTGTCTTGATAACATGAGAAAGAAAAACAGAATAATTATCAAGATCGGCGTAATAAAGCATTGATTACTTCTTAATATTGTACGGCAATAACATACTACCTACGATTCTGTAGTTACGCCTCTGTGACAAGTATGAATCAAAAGTTTGATGCCATCCATAATTGCACATGCTTAGTAGTAGTTGAAAAAATATAGAACTAGAACATTAATAATCGTTACTATGAGTGTAGGCAACTTCTACTATGATGCATATTTAACGATAAAACATTTATACCAGAAAAGATTCTTAATAACAACGCAGAAAAATAAAAAGTAGAATTCTTAAAATGATATCCATCATATAAATACACAATGACACGTTAATAAAATTTCTTATATTTACATCATTTATAGAAGAATAAGGAGAACGTATATTGGTCAAATATTTAATTATCTTTTAGAACTGCTCAACAAGAAGAAATTATTCGTCGTGTTCGTTATCCACGTCATCTTGGTCGTGATGGTCTTGTTCGGCCTTATATTTCTCATGAAGCAATGGGTTTCTATATTTTAAATGTAAAATTTACCATCTTCATGATTTCTAAGTGTTGTTTTTCATTGTTCTAATGAATTTTTAGCGATTAGAAGATGGCAAATATTCAAAGTCGGATACATACGTTGCTCATATAACTTGTTCAGAAAGTCCTCAATCGTGTTTGTTGGCAACATCAATGTAGAATAATAAGATTTATTTATTATTGCTTTTATTTTCTCTGTTTGTTTTTAGTCGTTTATTATTTGTAACTGAAATATCATTTCTTGGTTTGTATGAGATCGATTGGGAAATACTATACGAAGAAATAAAAGAAGAACCAGTTATAAAAATAAATACAAATCAAATTCAAATTTTAACAAAAGTAAGCAACGAAAGAAAACTATAAAAAGAAGAAAAAAAGACTAATACGAAGCAAAAAAATAAATCTCTAGAACAAGCTCAAATCTTCTTTATTGTCAAAAGCATTCAAGATGACATCATTATGTGTTGTAGAGGATATTATTTATGTGAGATGAATCCTACTTTTGATTTTCGCTAGCTGATCTTAAAGCTCCATGAGATTTATGAAATGAAATTTCAACTGATTGTATTTGTATTTTTCAGGAACCGAAAACAACTGGCACTATACGATCACATCAAACATATGGAAAATTAGTTAAATTTATGAAACTACCCGATGCTAAAGTAGGTTGAATCTTGCATATTTATTTTTAGCATTTGTTTATTTGATTTATATTTTAGTATATTGTCGATAAAATTGCAACCGCAATGCATATCGTTGGTCTATAAAAACAAAAACTTAGTGTGCTTTATTATTTTATTTCGCTTATGATTTTTTTAATATAAGTTCAGAGATTTATAAGCGTTCTTTCATTTATTAATCAGCAGGTTTTTGTGAGCAAGTGTTTCACACAAATAAATAGAACTTTGATTTATGTGTGTGAACTTTTTTGTTTTAATATAAAAAGAAAAGAGAGTGTTTCATTTATTTTCTAATCTGGAAAAAGCGAGAATTGTTTATTTATGAGTAAATAATTATAAATAAAATATTCTGAATTTTTTCATCATTATATTTGTTACCTTATGGTGAAGACAGGTTATTCTCATAGAGGAAATGAAGTGTAAAAACCAGTAGGAACGTACGAATTTACTATATATGGTAGACTTGAATTTAATGCAAGACTGCATCGTTGATTCTTTGATTTAATCATGCTTTTATAGGACATTTATTGATTTACATTATTATATTTACGAATAAACAGAAATATGACTAAGAATAGAAAATTCGGAAGGAAGTGTAAATACTATTTTACTCATATTACCCAGAGTGCATAGACAATTAGTTAAATTGAGAAGATGAGATTATTTTTTGTCATATTTTAGTCTTGTATTTCTAATAAAAATAACGATGTTTCTTTAAAAAAAAGTTGAAAACTTTCTCACTGGAAGAAGCGTGATAATCTCAAGATCACGTTTGTACTAGCGAAGAATCATCAATGGTAGTCTTGATAGATCTTGTTTTCAAAAACGATTTACTAGAAAAACAATTTAATATTAATGAGTTAAAAACAAAATAACAAAAGAATCATTGTATATTGGGAAATAAAAACATTTATTGTTATATATCTTATTGAAGACTTTTTAATGCGATTTAAATAATGCCATTTTAACTACGATGAATATATCAAACCCTTAAATTCTGATTCTTTAAAAACAATGTATCAGTAGAAATTGGTCAATATCTGCTCACAGAATTTGTTTTTTGGTTAACAGCACTACGGGATAAAATGAACTAAAAATTCTTAGTTTTACTCTTGCGTAAGTTTTCTAAAAATTAAAATAAAACTATCTATAGCAAGAAGAAAAATGTTGCTTCAAATATTCTCATTCGAGATTTATGTCACTCGTTGCTTTTACATCATTTAGAACTCACTTCTGATAAATTTTTCAAACGAATGATATAAACAGCTTTTGTCAGATCACGTTTCGTAAGTACTGAGCAACAGCGTTTATTTTTGTCTTATCGTTTCATGTAAAGTAAACGATTGACTAAACAATGAATGGAATAATTGGTGGGAAGTAAAATTCAAATCGTTCTCAGCTTGAATACAAAAGGCTGTTTTAATACTCCTGAAATGAAATCCAACGAAAATTTATTTCTTGTCAATAAAATGAGTCAATAGTATTGACTCAATACTCGTTAACATTTATTCAATATAGAATCAGCATATCCATACGCATCTATATTTTTTTCTCAGTAACAATGGATGCATTCATGTCTTATTTTTTTCTTCTCTTAACTCAAAGGCAACCAATACTTGATATTACACACCATTTTACCTGATATATATTCAAGGTTACTTCCTTCACTCTATCTATCTAATATTCAAGCACAAGATCAATCATTATTTTTTTCTTATCGATACTATCAAGTACCGTCAATTTGTCGAACGTAATAACAAAAAAGAAAGAGTTGAAATTAGGTCGAAACGAAATAGAAAGTAATGGCTTCGAACTTGTATGATCTCTTTTGAAAGTATACGAGGATAATGAATGTATATAATTCATAAACAAAGAATAAATGCCGACTTTATAACGCTTTTTCTTTAAGACAATTAACGACAGTTAAATTTATTGAAGGTTTCTAAGTTGACAAGAAAGTTTATGAAGCTCTACGCGACCATTCGAGCTTCAAACGAACGAATATATTGAAATTTTATTGGAATTCCAAAAGATTTTTTGTTTTTATTCATATGTTTATTATGTAAAAACAAAAAAAAATTATTCTTGCTCTAATGTTATTGTCTATGATTGTCTAGTTTCTATTGCTGTTATTTGTTTTTATAAATTAATATCAGTCACACATGAAATAAATAAATTACTACTACTACGACAATTTTGACAACCAAAAATTTCAATTCATACTATGTTCTATCTTAATCACATAGATTTACCAATAAAATTCTACTTATTTATTAAGAAAAATATAAAATATCAATGGTTAGATGTGTACAGATGTCTATTAATCTACGATGAATAATGAATCAATGAGTTTCTTCATATAAACTTAAATGAGTGTTAATTTGAGGACATTCAACAATTGAGTTTTTCTTTTTAAATAGAGTTATCAACATGAAAGATATAGCTAATAACCTTGTACTGATTTAATTGAAAGCATACTCCTGTATGTTATCGTTTGAAGAATCAATCACAATATATACATGACACGTTCAGGGTTGAAAAATTTCTTATTTTAACGAAGTATGATTGTTAAATTTGAGATGTATGTATACAGAGCAAATAAATAAAATGTGCTAATAGCAATTTGATAGTAGAAAAGGACTGTCTGCCTGTCTGTTTGTCTGAGAGATTGATTATGTCAATGTATTTTGTGTAAAGTTAATGTTTTCACACTCAAATAACATGAAAAAATGAATGTTTATACATAGTGTATGTTATTCGAGTTCGAATACTTTCTTTTGACAAAGAATCGATGTAACACTTTTTTGTTTGTTTATTCGTTATCATTTTTAATAGTACAAGAGATGTTACTGACAAAAATTCATTGAACAGAGAAACAATATATCATTTTTTTGCTTGTTTCTGTTCTTATGTATTTAACGAAACATAAGAGAGAGTTAGGGAGAGAGGAAGAGAGAGAGAGAGAGAGAGAGAGAGAAACAGAGAACAAGAATGTGCACACGAAAAGAACAGAACGATGATGCAGTGAAATAATAGCTATATGTAATTTCTTGTGCGACTCTCCTGTTTTTTCTTTGTATGATTATTTTTTTCATAAATAGCTTAAGACGAACGTAAATCTTCTCGTTTTCCTTTTTTTTATAACGTGCCCAATGAGATAGTTTCGCGTTAGTAACTATTCGTCTAATATAGTCTCGATCAAAAGTTAATTGTATTCTTTCTTTCTAGGTAAATTTTATGTGACTCAACACTGTTACTGTTCTCGTTATCTCTTCAATACTGATTGATTAATGATAAATACTCGAATATTATTTCAAATCCTTTTGACGAATGGATGGCAACAAGAATAATTCTACTGTTGATTCTAGTCGTCAGTTTTTTAACTGTGGTAAGGAAGGATTTAATAAAAATGATGATTTATTTTTGATATGTGAGAATACGCATTTTGCGTCATCTTACTTGAAGACTACTATTATTTGTATATTATAAAAATTTAAAATTTGATGTATACTAGCACATGAGTTTATGAACTTCTAAGTTTTGCATATATGATGAATACATTTGAATTGAGACTTGAGACGTAAAAAGTATCCACTCATGGAGTATATTTTATCGGATAAGATATATCCTAGTTAAACTATAGATAAATAAATGAGTTAGTAAGTAATAATTTGAAAATCATAATCATAAAGATCGTTTATTTTTGTTAATATTAGATTTGTTTGCGTTTTCTTTCAGTATTCTCTTATGATATTTTCTTCGAGCAATTAGATAAGTATCAATATTTGAAGTATTATTTGATGAACGTTTCATTGAGTGAATACCGTAGACATGCGCACACGTATATGTATATATATATATATATATACTCATGCCAAGTCGATTACTCTTTTCATGAAAGTAGTGTAAAAGAAAATATAACCATTAAAAAGAAGAAAGCGAAGAGGCAGTTTATTATTGAATAAGTGTATGTGCGTCAGAAGGTGATGTTTATATTCTCATCTATCGTATGTATAACGATGAAGAACATCAGGCTGTGTCAAGGCTTGACAATAATAACGATGATGAGTTGTTGTTCGTATATATATTTGATAAGCATTACAGAATGTCTGTTATATCTTCGTCATCATTATGTGGTTCATACTCGGAATAAATAGTTGACTTCACCTCCTATAATTAGATAATGTTTTTTTCTTCTTCTTCTTTTTCTTATTCTTATTTTACACTAACATATATTGACATTGACAGTAGTAGACTTTTACCTGTATTTTGTGCAAAATCGATAGATGCTTACATTTAATTGTCTGAATTATATGTACAATACTAATATTAGCAATAACAAAGGTATAATAATGCGATCACTAGAAAACTGACGCGCATCATGTATGACTACATATATATGAATCGATATTTTTGCCAACATAAATGATTCACTTCATTTTAAAGGAATGCATGCATTATGATGAAATTGTTATTATAAAAACATGTAAAAATAACTTTGACAAAATGTTTTTCCTGTTTTTTTTGCTTTGCTCATGATGATCAGTAGAAATTATAGTTTATCAATACGAACGAGTATTACATCAGCGAATAGTTCCGATGTAGTCAATTTCTCTTCCTTTCTTGTTCTATTCATTTATTGAATTTATTAGGAGTCGTAACAAATGTTCATAGCTCACTTGATTCTACTCTATGATTTCCATTTGTTATGCTGTAATAAGGAATTGCATCATACATACACGAAATTATGGCCATTTAATCTTAATAATGATGGTTGCGAATGAACGAAAAGAATCGAGAAAGAAAAATAGTGAAATTTGAACTATTAGGTACTGCTGTTGCCTTTTCTGAGATTTAATATCATCGATACAAGGTTAATGAATAATATGAAGAAAAAAAAAGAAATAAAGAAAGATATTGTAGCATATGAAAATATCGAATTTATTTGTTTTATTTAGCCAATATTATCTTTGCCATCATTTGCAACGATCCTTGGTGAAAAATATTCATATATTCAATACAGACGTGCTGAAAATCGTCGATATCAACCATCACTAGTTAGTTTTTTACATCGACAGCCTGACGGTTCTCAATTGGCAACTACACGTTATTATCGTATTGTTTTCCATTGTAATATTATTCCTGGATCCCTTTATCTTCGGTTTTCTAATCTGAAACCTTTTCGTACTGTTGTTCAAAGTCGACACGATCCTTCAAGTAAATATTTTTCTTTGTTTAATATGTGAAATAACATTTTAAATTTAAAAAAATTAATAAATAAAAATTCTAGCAATTTTTGGATTTCGATCGGTGGGAGCTTATAGCCGTGTTCAAATTCAAAATTATCTCTCAGATCAATGGTTATGTATGAATAAACATGGACGAATCGTACCAAAGGTATGCTAAACATTGATTATTAGACTAAAATTTTTTGAATTTAATTACTTTTCAGCTAAATATTACAATTAATGATCTTGCATGTATATTTCGTCAAAATTCCGATGGTCCATATATGACACTTGTTTCTGAACTTGATTCATCACGTCAAATGACTTTTAGTACTCTTCATCTTTTATCGATGAATCCTATTCTTCGTCATCGTTATGCATCATATATGACAGATCGAAACCCGATTTTCAAACAAGAGCAATGCAGTCGCTTTATGTTTGATAATCAAATTGATATAACTTTATTCAATCGAACAAGAGATCCATTTCTACGGTTAAGACATTATTAGGTTTATTTCAGGGCTTTTGGACTGTTAATGGATATTTTATTTCAAGTACTATTTTTTATGGCATATAGTCAAATGTTTGGTTTTGATTTTGTCTTTGTTTTTAATTTATTATAATGTGTTCTATGTGTATAGTTTCTTCTACTTTCACTGTTATATATATATGTCTGTGTGTGTGTGTGTAGTTGGTGTTTTGTTCATATGTTTTGCTTAGTTTTTATCTAATGATGAATGTTTATATGTTTCTCAATTAAAGAACAATAAAATTGATATGATTTTCTTTATTTCTCTGTGAAAAATAAAGAATATCGAATTTTATTATATAGTTTGAAAATATGTAGAATTATAAATTATACATAAATCATTATTTGATTCGAAAGATTATTACCTCGTCTTTAATTATGATACTGAAAAATATTAAGCACAAAGATAATATGATTTTACTTTTTCAATGTCTGAATCAGTCATTATTGATGCACTACCCATCGTTGATTGAGAAACATTTGCATTTGAAGATATTGTTGGTAGGCCATTTTTAGAAAAAGCATTCCATTTATAATGCATGATAGAAGCTCAGTGAATCGAATAACAGTTATTGTTTGATTTAACAATCAATCATACTAAAATCATATGCTTTTTGAAGTGTATCAACTTCTGTGGTACTATATCGATTAAAATTATTTTCTCTACCACTTTGAATATTTTCATAATTGATTTTAACATAACATAAGTATCTCTATCATGTCGAGTTTGTTCATGAGCAAATCCAACGGCATGTAATAATTCATGTATAACAATATTTTGAGAAAGACAACCTGGATTTTCAAATGAAACATCCTGTGAACCGTTAGCCTATTGTCTTCCCATGTACGACCAACAACTATGCTATTTCAATAACCGAGATAGTCTAGATATTAATCGCGGTAGAAAACAATCGTTTAGATCACTTACCCTGTACCAACGGAGATGCGTATCCAAGTCAGATGATTTATACGTTCTACAAAACGAATACAATTACCTGTTTGTTGTTCAATTTTACGCATTGAATTAGTAATTGTTGTGATTTGTGCAGCCGTAAATTGTGATCTCTCGATTGTGTATGGAAGAAGACCAGAGTCCATTTTGCTGCTTTTCTGTAAGCATTTCTAGCTGGAATAAGTACAGGTGCTGAGCCGACATCAAATACTATATCACCTTCGCTAATTTGTAGGTGAGGTCGATCATCAATGGTTACATTCACAAATAAATTGACTGGGTCACCTTGAACTGCTGAATAGCATACTAGTAAAAGAAAAACATATGGGTGCATCATATGTTGAATAGTTAGTAGCGATAATTTCAATAATAATAAAAAAAAATATAGATTTAAAAAAAGATTAAACAGCAAATACAATCTATTATGTGAATTAAAATATATTCTACTATATGTTGACGAGTATTTCAACTGCCTACACTCGAAATGCATGTGACTGCTGCAATTTTTCTCATGCATTTTCTTTCTTATGTCTAGCACATTTGTAGCATGTATGACGTAAAATGCAAAGATTCCACAAATATTGACGAACACAGAATAGAGAATAATTGGATTGCGAAAACATTTCTGATTAATTTCACATAAAAGGTAAAAAAAAGGTATAGTTCTTTGTTGTTGCTTGCATTAAAGAAAAATTCGTCGCTAATTCGATTAGTGTCCAATCTCCCATACATTGTATTTTTGCTGTTATTGCTTAGACATTCTTTCATAATAGTTGTATTGTTTTTCATTCCATATTTTTTTGTGTTAATCTAAAATGAATAATCTAGAATATTATTGCGAAAGGATGATGCCACAATTCACATGAACACAGAATGTTTCTTTTGTCTGAAATCAATCTTAATCATAGTTTGATGCTTTTCTTAAGAGACATAGTAGTAAAATTGAACATATGCTATTAATCTCACAAGTAGAACTGATGGATACTAAAATAATAATAATAATAAGCTTCTAGAAACAGAACCATCCAAAAATAGTTGTAAGATTATGATTAGATATATTTAACATGCTTTCGTCAGATTGATATGATCATGTACCATACTGAGATAAATCATTATGATCAGTACTTGATCCAAACATGTGTACGATTGTTGTATATTGACTGTTCAGTATAAAATACTTTTAGAAGTACGAATCATTATTTTTACATTATTGACCAGTTCGATTGATGATTGCTCAAAGATCTCTACAGAACGATGTCATGTCAAGACTATGAACAGTTTCTAGGTGACTCTGAACATAAAAGTATGATTAACTAATAACAGATTGTTTGACTACTCGCAGATTATCTCTTTTTACAATAGAAATGATGGCAGAGTAAATAACTATAGAAGACACAAAATAGAATAAATGATAAAAAATTGATGCATTTTCAATATTTTATTTCCTATTAAAGATATTGACATTGCTAGAATACCCTATCTAGGGATGTGCAGTTTCAGTGTAAGTTTAGTGAAACACTCGGACACCGATGATGATTTCAATTAACTACATTTTATATACAGAATATGGTGACATCTCCCAAGTGGAAAATATGAATCCACATAAAATTTCAACTGGATAAAAGCATTGCAATGTGATCACTTCTCTTTTTTCGTATGTCTGACTTTATTCAAGGCGAACTTTCTTTAGCTAATAAGGGTGTTGTCTTTTTTCTATCTCGATCACACATACGTCATGCTTTCGCAAGTCTTTTCTATCCTATGCTATTTTATCTTTTACGCTGTGTCTACTTCTGATCGCTTATAAATTCACTCGCTCCATTTAACTTTTACTGATTTAACGAAAGAATGAAATTTATAATCGTCAGCATCGTCTTTTTCATCTTCGCTTCCGATAAATAATGTTACGCGGGATCCTCTCGGCTGGTCCCCATTACCAATTAACTCAACTCGTCCTCCCTTAATTGACTCTCAATTCGTCCCCCCAATTAGTCCATCCCTGTCCAGAAACAATTAGAAACAAATATAAGAAAATTGATTGCTGCGTAGAGCACTCTGCATATATATATATATATGATGTGATTTCTTAGTAGTGTATTAGTTTTCTACTGACATTCTCTATGCTCTGAGAAATGCTGCTATTCACATCTTCAACTTTATCGAATTATTGCATGAAGAGCACGAATACCAGCATCACAAGTCCGAAGAGTCGGGAGTTCAATTGCGCAAACGAAAGAAGGTGGACGATGTTATTGACGAGAATCTTGAGCTCCTTCTTAATGACCATAAGGGTGGATTGATCACTGATATGCAACTCGCGATTAAACGCAGACGGGCGTTGAAGACAAAACTTGTTAAGTGATTTTTTTTCTTGTTTCTTTTATTACTCTTGAATAAAACAGCTGATTGTTGAAAATCATATGTTTATCAAATGAGTCACTAATTAGTACGAATTTTGTGGGGGACGAATTGAGAGTCAATTAGTGCGGAGGGGACGAACTGGGGACGAGCCGAGAGTAATCCAACTGGTTGCTTCTTCCCTAGTCAACTCTCCCTAGAAGAATCCCCAGGGAGTCCCCTGACAAATCCCCGGGGACTCACGACAGGGAGTCCCTAGGGATTTCGTTCTTTTATGGGGACTCACTGGGGACTCCCCGGGAAGTTATATGACCAAAATCGATGAAATATCTAATTACTAATAAATTCTTCTAAATTTTTTAAAATTTAAAAAAACTAAAAAGTTTTTTTTTTAATTTTAAAAAACTTCACCAATTCTCCCCAGAGAAATCCCCGGGGAGTCCCCCAAATAAAAAGTCCCCGGGGACTCACGACAGGGACTCCCCAGGGATTTCGTTGTTTTGCGGGGTCTCCCCGGGGAGTCGTCGGGGGAGAGTGGATTAGGGTTATAACCCATCACTATAATAAGTCAATAGTGTTTCATCAATTTTCTCTATTAATCATCTTTTATATTCGTCGTTCGAATTTTGGCGTCGAATTGATTTTCGGTCATATAAAGCATTTATAGTCCGATTATCGTAATTCGATAATATAAAACCAGATAATGCTTAACTTAAAATAAAAATGAATGGCAATTATTCTTGAGAAGGTTCTATTGGCATATGTTATATTAAAACAAACTTCCTTGAGCAAATTCCAAAAGGTACGAAATATGAATAACAATACCGAGATGATGGGATTTAACGGTTTTTTTTCTCGTTGGACTTTTTAATCTGCGCAGAATATATTTGATTTAGTTTTGCTCGTTTTTGTGAACGTGTTTTAAATTTAACACGAAGCTCAACATTAAGTATCTTTTATTGATGTCTTCTTATTAGGTAAACGGTATATTCACTATATTACCTTTCGTTTTATTGAAATATCTTTGAAAATAAAGTTCCCGTCAATGAACAGAAACGCAGCAGAACTTTGAATATCAGTATTTTAGTGGAAGATGTACTAATTTGTCAAAAACTGCCATTTGCTGATTAATTTTTGATTTTTCAATTTTTGATCTGACCACCCTGGCGTTTACGGATGATAACACCATCGGTAGAGCTTTGTGAAACACTTCATGAAATATGATGTGCAATAAAAAGAAAACTTTTTTTCAAACTGTATCCGATTCCTAACTTGCAGAAATAAACGAGGTAGAAGTCTTCTGAAGATCGATTGAAACAAATACATCTAGTCATTTTGTTTTTGTTCCGCATAGCTAAAATGTTGACATACAGTTAGTGTGAAAATAATTGAACTCGATGAGTACTTTTAATTAATTTCATATAATCACGATTTCCAAAGCAAGATCGTTCGAGAACTAAACAAATAGAGTAATTTTTTCGATTGAATAAAATCATTGCAACTATTTAGTGAGAATGACTCTAAATTTATTGAACGAAAACTTTCAACATAGCAGCTTCAGTCGTTGTTTTTAAGAATTTTTCAGATCGCACACTTCCTTTTATTTTGCTTGCAACGGTCTACTAAATTTATATTCCAAAAGTAGTATGAATTATATGAATCCAAAAAGCATTAAAAATAAATGATATCCGTCTGTTCTAGTTTTATAGACTCTTTTTGATCCGAGATATTGGATGGATTTAGTATCATAAATTTTTTTTGATATTCGAAGTCAAGTCAATATCTCTCCGCTTTCATTTTTTAGACTTCTCTTCGTGATCCGAGATACATAAGGTAGGATAATTTTTTTTGAAATTCCAAACTAAGTCAATAACTCTCTCTTGCAGTTTTTTCAGCTTTTCTTTTTAATGCAAGATGCACGTTGTATGGTGTACTTTAGCTTTAATACCAATAATAGTTGCCCTTCATAATTCACGATAACATAAAATGTGCTTCATTTATGTCATGCCAGTTTTTGTGTTGTAGACTAAGTCAAGAAAAATATGTCATATTCCGCATGATTATTTATCTTCAAGGTGACCTTCAATTCCCCTTATTGTTTTGTTCGTATTTCTTATGTATCAATAAGTTGATGAAATACATTGAACTAATCAATTTTCATGCGTCTTTTCATCGACTATTGTTCAATTAATTCTTGGCCGAGAGATGAATTTATCGTGTGTTGCTACTCTTCCTGTTTATGTTTAATGATTATTTTTTCTTTTTTCTTACCATAGGATATTATTTTCTTCTTCTCTCACTCCATGCTCCGCATATCAAGAGTGAATGAGAAGAGAAATAATATTTTTTTGGATCATAAACTGAAGAATAGTTTCATTCATCAAGGTTGTACAACCGATTCTCTTTCTGTTGGTTAGAGTCTTAGCTGAAACCATGGGCAAGGATTTAATCACAATATTAAGAAAATACTATATTTTAACAGTAGTGAACAGTAGGGGTGGGCCATTTTTTTTAACGGAACTTAATTAATGACATTAATTAATGACTTCCATTAGCCATTAATATTAATGGTTAATGCTTTCTAAGAAAAACTTAATTCATTAATATTAATGATTAATGAAAACATTAATTTTAAAATTAATGTTAATGTTTTTCATTAATCATTAATATTAATGAATTAAGTTTTTCTTAGAAAAC